AGCTTATGTTTGATACGAGAAATAGGGCTATTATGGTTGTTGCTATGAATAAAGTGTTCTTTAAAATATTTAATACGAATATCAATTATGTTCATTACTAAATTAAAAAAAGAATCCAAGGACTTTTTGTCAGCTTTTTCTCGTTTTATCCATTTCGAGCAGTAAGTACGGAGTGAGTCGTGGATGATGTTACGACACTCATTCCAATTAATAATTGATGGGGGACGATATTTAGGTCCTTTACTGTGGAATGGTCATGAACGATGAGGTCTCCTGTTATAACATGGGAACTGGGGCCATAAATGTATTCGGAATTACTGCAATTTCATGACGTAGGTGTATTGTCATAACTGATATTAACATCTTTACACACTTCACTAAAATTAAACACAAATTTCCGGGTAGATTTTTTTTAAACATAACAAATAAGAGGCAGTTCAGTATTATCAAAATAGCCAGGAATTTGTTCTTTAACAGAATGATCATTAAAAATACCGGCAATATTTACAAAATCAAAACCTTTATTGACATATTTGATTTTAATAAAATGTTGTTTAGGATCTTCAAGGCGATCAGTTTTGGGAAACAGTTTAGAATAACAATATGCAATTATAATTTGGACGATTTCATACTTAGGACTGCAATATGGAATTGTGTTGTAATCCTCTAGAATTTGATGTAATTTATTAACAGGTAAAGAACAGAGCTTGGTTAACAGATAATGTCTGCCGTTGTTTTTTTGAAATAGTAATTAGGTCCGAAATATTTGTATTGTTGGTACGAAATTTTCTCTGATTGCGATTTATTCTACGCCCATGAGAACGGTTTTTACGAACAGTTTTAGAAACTATATTCAAAATGTTAACAGAATCGGTTCTTGATATAATACCAATTCCCATTATATATCATTAAGACCGAGAGGATAGACTGTAATTTTTTAAAACAATATTAAATATAAAGCTTTTTAGGGATAATAAGGCTCCTTGTATCTGATCTGCCATAAATTCTATACCAAATTTACTCCAAACACCAATCATGTATTGTAAATAAAATAGAGAGGAAAAGGGTGGACACTAAAATTTCTCACCTGCTTATCCGATAATGACTGAACAATATTTTGAAAATACTTTGAAAACAAGGTCCTACTATAGGTATAACAAAAACATAATATTGATCAATGGACCATGAATGTGAGGTCAAGGTCATACATACATCTTCTGTTACTGTGACTTAACTGTAAGTGTTTCTCTCCACCTACTTTAGGATAATATGAGATATATATCTATAAGTATTCTTGGTTTCGTCTCACCCTCTATCTAAATATAACAAATTTCCACAGGAAAACACATAACAATTCAATATACTAAATATTCAGTTGACCTATTAATTCCAGTTATTGAAAAACAGACCATAATGTTGATCTATGAACTATGGAAGAGGTTTAGGTCAAATGATTCATAAACCCTTTTTGAGTGACGTTTGTTTAATGTCCATTGGCAAATACTTCATGGATATAATTTGATATCATTCATGAATCTCGTTTCCGTGACCTTATAACAATTCTATATCCTCCCCCAATTCGCCTCTGATTAATCTATGGATGATCCAGCTATTTTTCCCTTCTGATATAAATAGCATTATCTTACTATATACGATTAATATATGCCATACACACCACATTTATACATGTATTAGCATAGTCTTTAGATGGAGATTTCAACATTAAAAAAAACGCTGATATCTGGAAAGATAACACCTATGTAGTGGTTATAGTATATAGTACAATTTTGGGCCAAATATTTGGTTTCCTATTCCTAACATTTTTTCTATCCTGTAATTGTACAATTAAAATTTTCATTTTTCAGTAACTCTTCTTTTATGCATTAATGTAATTGCTCAATTCTTTTGAGATAATTTACACTAGATAGAATTTATTCCTGGATAGCTTTAAAACCTCTGCAACATCAACTATTCCTTCCATTGAAAACAACCATTATTATAACATAAATGATTTGGATGTTTTTTTTTATAAAATTTAATAAAAATATTTTTAAAAAATTTATCACATGTAAGTTCACGGTCATTGGTCATTCACACTCATAAGAATGTCAATACATTTCCTTCAACTGCATTATTAGTCTTTTGTTGTATGTCGACAGAAGAAAATGTTTTAGGGTTTTTTTTCTTCCCTGTCTGTTCCTAGCACATCTTTTTCAATTTCTCCCAAGTCAAGTTTCTTCTCCAGTATTGCTTTCTGAAAGTACATAAATTAAATTGTGTTGTATTTTGCAGTATTTTTATTTTCAATATCTGTGCGTTTTTCAAAATTCTATACATAATGGGTCTAGTCTATTCATTGTCCAGGGAAATTGTTTTCATTTCAAACATTCACATCAACAAATGAAAATGGGTTAGTGAATTAACCTGAATCAATGATTTATAAATTTGTGAAATAATGTTTGTTTATGTACAACACAATAGACATTTTCAAATCCACTATTATATAATTCCTTATCGCTGGGTATGAAAAGTGCTATGTGTTCCTTTGTTTTACTTTTGACCATGGAGTTGTCCATCTTTCTTCCCTTCATGGTTTCTGATTGCCTCCTTGACATCTTCTCTCCCTTTTCTACATTGTATATCTGGTTAAAATTAAACGTGTATTGATATTGGCTAAAGGTATAGGGGAGGGTTGAGATCTCAAAAAACATGTTTAACCCTGCCACATTTTTTTGCGCCTGTCACAAGTCAGGAACCTCTAGCCTTTGTAAATTTTGTGTGTTTTTTTTAAAAATTTAGATTCATTTGTATGTTTCAGAGTTAAGTGTGTCGTCAATTTTGCTGAACTAGTATATATTGTCTAAAAGCTAGCTGAAGGGCGCCTCTGGATACAGGATTTTCTTGCTGCGTTGAAGACCCATTGGTGGCTTTGGGCAGTTTTCTGCTCTTTGGTTCAGTTGCAGTCTCTTTGAAATATTCCCCATTTCCATTCTCTATCTTATATGGTATGCTAAAAGATTCATCATAAATGTTTGGCAAATATGGCTGTATTTACACCTCAAAATTTATTCTGAGTACACACAAACCTTGAAAACAGGAAAAGTTTCAAGGCATGGCTAGACCTACAAACATGTATAAGCTTTTCATTTTCTCCCTTTGAACAATGTCTTAGGCAAATTATACTTTGTTACAGATGCACCAAGTTAGATATAATTAATAGTATGGATTGGAAGTGCAGCCTTAAACTTTCAAAACATGATAAACAAATATAGCTGATTTTTTTTCCTGTGTAATTTTTTAACACTTCTATCATATTTTTCTTGTTCAAAGGGAGAAAATGAAAAGCTTATACATTTATGTAGGTCTAGCCATGCATTAAAACTTTTCCTGTTTTCAAGGTTTGTGTGTACTCAGAATAAATTTTGAGGTGTAAATACAGCCATATTTGCCAAACGTTTATGATGAACCTTAAGGGGAAGGGGTGGTGTTATACAGTATTATACAGATATCAGGGTATTCCCCGAATTAACAGAATATGTAATAAATGTTCTTCCAATACTGTCGAAGATGAGGCTCATTTTCTATTTGATTGTAACAAATTTGAGGATGATAGAAATTGTATGTTAGCTAGTATTGCAAAATATAATTCTTATTTTAATCATATGAACAGTCAAAACAAAATTATCTGGTTATTTAGTGTAGGAAATGTTGATTTACTTAATTTTATATACAAACATCTTCCTTAGTGAAGATTAGTTAAAGGAAATCTATGTGTGTATATTCATTTGATTGGACAAAGAAAATTATATTCATCTGAATATCACAAACATACTAGCCGATTAAAAAAAAAAAGAATTAATTGTTAAGATATATTATTTATTCAAATGTTCTCTTATATCCTTGAGGCATCGTCCCCTGGTATCAACTGCATTCTAGTTACCTATGATGCTTCCTTGTTTGCTTTTGATACAGGTAGGAAAGAGACATTTACACACATTTTACATGCCTATGGCCCATAAGGTATCGCCCCCTGGTGTCAGCTGCCTTTAGGAAACCATAATACTTTCCTATTTGCTGCTGACACAGGATGAGTCATGGACATGCTTAATTTCTACTTTCTTTTTGGCTAATTATTATATGTTTAATTGATCCAACTTATTGTGTATTATACATATATGGATATCTATTTTTCTTTTTGGGGCTGCTTGTTTGTTATCTTTATCAACCACACTTGCATTAAAATGCATTAGTATTAAAAAAAACATACTTTAGATTCTTTATCTACGTATTCTTTAAAAACTTAAATAGTTCTCATTAATCTTTTTTTTTATCTCATTGTTTGTATTGTTTTATGAAAAATTATTGATGTTGTAATGTTTATGCCGTTTGGGGCCCATAATTGGAAATAAAATATCTTATCTTATCTTACAGTAAACATGGTAAAAATTAAGAAAAAAATACAATATTGCATTATATTTTGCAGTACATAAAAACCCTGAACTTTTATGAATTTATAACAGGTTTGGTTTCCCCATGAGGTAACTTTTGAGCAAACTATTATACATGCACTGTTCCAAATTTGTCCTCTTAAATGAGCCAGGACAGTCAACTCCCCCCCCCCCCCCCCCCCCCAACCCCCAACCCAAGTTCACAGGTAATATTTTACCAGAAAGGAGTTACTAGCAGAGACTTTACATTTTATGTCTCTGAATAAATACATTTCCTAAACCTGATGATTGTTTGATGTTTGCTTTAAGTCCAGTGGCAAATATTTCATGCTTGTTCACTATTCTGATGAAATTGTGTGGTTGCATTAAAGCAGAAAGATCAAAATTTTGGTACATTTTAATTCTTTTCAAGTTACTTCCATTGTCTCTTGAAAGGAACATATAGTATGATGTAATTTTATGCAATATTTACAAACTAAAAGTTCAGCTTTCATGGATGTTCATGTTCCATGTTCTAATTCATTTTACCTTCACACAAGTTTGATAAACTCCAAACAATGCTTTACATGGGTCATTCGTTTTCCCCTTTAAAAACTGTTCTGCAAACCATTTGTTAAAACAATTGTCATAAGCAACTTTTAGTTCTTGGCATTCTTCGCCAATGCTGTTCATTTTAACAGGAAGTGTAAATACGCCGCTGTAGGGGAGATAATCCAAAACAAACATGTTGTTTACAAAACTCACTTGCAGACTGTGGTTTCAAAGAGTTTCAAGAAACAGCAAGGGCTTTTGTAGCAAGGTGTGGGTTGTTATGGTAGTAGTCATTGTATCCTTTTGTTTTTTCTAATCCTTCAAACGAAAACGAAACGTATGCTAAGGATTTACACTAACACTTGACTTTTATTTAATTGTTCCACAAAGGTCAAAATCTAGTACGAGTGATAATTTACTCAACAAACAGGTTCATGTGGACCTTTTGGCTAAAATAACTGTGTTTTAACCTGAAAATTTACTCTGAGAACAGACTTACCTGTGTATTTGGAAAAAGTTTAAGGCAAAGCATGCCCTAGATGATTAAGGTTCATGTAAACCCTTTCAGGCCTTTGATAATTATAAAAAATGGCAGCATTTTCACCTCAAAATTTACTCTGAGTACAGACAAACCTGAGTATCTGGATAAATTTTAAGGCATAGCATGCTCTAGATAAATGAAATTCACATACATTTTCTCTTTAAGAAAATTAAAAACTTAACTGGATTTTGCAGTGCATTTTTTTCATTACTCCAGAAGGTGCCAAAATTAACAAAGTTGGGAAAGAAATTTGAGAACTTCCCCACAGGTAATAATTGAAGTAAACTGTATTGATTGACATGGACAATAGAAGGACAATAGATACCTAACAATAATTGGTGATTTAAACTGTGTACCTGAGTGGACCATATCAAGTGAAACTCAACTGTTTGTTAATTTTATCATCTTCTGCACAGACGAAAAAAGTGCACAGCAATATCCAGTTAAGTTTTAAATTTTCTAAAACATAAAATGCCTTTGAATTTTATTTATCTAGGGCATGCTATGCCTTAAAACTTTTCCAGATGAACAAGTTAGTCTGTACTTTGAGTAAATTTTGAGATGAAAACGCAGCCATTTTAGCCAAAGGGTCCACATGAACCTTAAAATTCAAATACATATTATGTTTTAGAAAATTAAAAACTTAACTGGATCAAAGATTTGTATCTTACTATATAAATCCTTGACTGGATTTTGCTGTGCACCTTTTTTCATCCCTGCAGAAGATGATAAAATTAAAAAGTCTTTTTAGCCGTAGGGTCCACATGAACCTTAAGGGTCCAATGAGAGCATGATTACAAACACGACAGAAAAATTAACCACTTCATATAATTGTGCATACAGCAGATAAGATAAGAATAGAGAAAAGACAAAACAGTAAAAAAACTCCGTCCTGAAATAAAAAAAAGGAAAAACATGTAGTTGAAAATCAGTCACAGTCTAACACTACATGTATGGATAAGAATAAAATCTCATATTTTTTAACTGTATGTTGTTAAAAAATAAAAGTTAAAAATCTCATATTGTATATTTTAAATTTGATAAAACATAATACAATCTAACAAAATCAATGACATAGCTTCAAAATCAAAAATGTGTAAATTAAATTTACTTTTGAAATACAAGTCAGTTCTTTGAATTGCATATCTGTAAACATTTTTCCTAGCAAAATTTGCTTCTGCTTACCTAGAGCCACCAAAATAGCCACTGCCTACATGTTATCTATGAAATAAACAAACAATTGCATTTGTCTGCATATCTCAGATCTTTTGGTTTATATATGGAAGTTGTTTTAAGGTACACACTGAATTTTATTTCCACAAAAAAAATAAAAAAAAACACAAATGTAAAGCTATAAAACAGTATAATTAGGGTACTTGAATAACCCAATACATGATACATGGTGTATTAATGTCCATCTGATGTGTCACCATACCATATCAAGATCAACAATGAAACCCACTTGAGGGCAAGCAAGCATTTTTATTTGTCTGAATAAGCAATTATTTTTGAGACATATATTCATTAAACAGCAGGAACTATGAATTTTGATCGCTTTTTCAAAAATATCTTTTCTTAGTGTTACTATAAAGTTGGGCTCAGTCTGCTATTACATGAAAAAGTGAATACATGCAGTTCCTCAAATAAATATTTCTTTTTGATGTGTTTAAAAGGGTGTATGACATTTGCGCCGATTTTAAAAAGTTTCGATCTTTCATTTGCGCCGATTGTGCACAGGTAAATTATAGATGAATGTTATTTTTATTTATCAATATTAACCTATTCCGTTAGCCAGTTGTACATATGTTATGAATTGTCAATTATAACATGTATATAACTGTTGTCCCCTGCAAATAGATTGTTGTTGTTTTCATTTGGCTCAGCACTGGTGGAGGAAAACCCAGTCTCTTGGGCTAAGTACAGAGTATAAAGACAAATCCGAATTTCACCTCCTCGTGGTGAGCAGGGGACAACAGTTATATACGGTCGGTCTTTCATTTGACCAATCCTGACACCCCACGGTGTGTTATCCTTCAAGAAAAACCTTAAAATGTGCATTATCTATAACTGAACAACTGGCTTACTGAAGAGATGAATAATGATAAATAAGAAATAACATTCACATGTAATGTACCTGTACACAATCGGCGCAAATGAAAGACAAAATTGGCGCAAATGAAAAAAAAAATCGGCGCAGAAATGCAGATCGGCGCAAATGCAAAACGCTGGTTTAAAAAGCTTATTGCAAATTATTACTTTTTAATTGAAATGATGCCTATTACATGTACTGCAAAAAATGAAGCTCTGCATTTCAGTCAACATGTATTTCCGCCCCTGTAATGAATATGAACTATAATTTTAGAATCATTGCAAGATTTGGAAAATAACTAATTAAAGAGTATACTCCATGAAAATTATTGTTGTTACTATTTCCCATTTGACATTTAAATATTAACATGCATAATTCACTAAGGGCCATTAATCATTTTCAGGTCCCGAAGACACCAATATGGGAAGAAGTGGACCACACAAGAATTCCCAATGTTCCACATATAGATCAAGAGATGATAAACCATTTAGAGAGGGTTTCCTTGGTTGAGTTTAACAATCAGGCAGGGATTGAGAGACTATCAAAGGCTATAGAATCTGCTAATAAATTACACATGGTCAACACAGATGGAATTGAACCCATGGAATCTGTATTAGAAGACAGGTAAATCTTAAGAAGGAGCTTGAAATGCTTGCCTGGCATCTATACATGTGGCTGCAACATGGTCAAATCTGACCTGCAATCTCAGATATTTTTGCAGGTGACCTTGGGACCTAAAATCTCATTTAAAATGACCCATGACCCTATAAAAATGTTTAAGACCAACTACCTTAAATTTTCTTAAAAGTGACCTGAGGCAATTTTAAACACAACATTGTGACCTAAGAGGTACCCAATGGAGCCTATATATAACCAATGATAACACAGACTTAATCTGAATACTTGTACTATTAAAGGGGCATTAGCTGTCAAATTCATGTTCACCAATTTGATCAAAATTCTCATATATTAAACGTATATATATCCAAAATCACAAATAGTTCAAAAGAAACAATTAACAATGCATGAGCTCTCTATAATGTATCAGCATTTCATACGTATTGTAGACTAGATGCCATCTAATTATCCATCTAGATTACCTCCAAGACTGCAGACAATTATATAACCTGAACTAAACATGAATGTAAATAGAAAGCAAGCATATGAAATCAGATTTTTCTTGGTCTTCATGTTTTAGGTTAAAAGTATATGTAAATCATTGTTTTATCTGTATAAAGAATGGTTTTTGTTGGCCAAAACAGTCATGAAATGGTTATTCTTGGTGGCTCCCTTGTTTCACTTTTTAATGAATGCATGAACTACATAATGATCACAAGTGCACCATCTCAACTAAAGGTCAAATTGACTTGTTGCATGAATACGGATTCAAATGAGTTGAATTATGGACTGGCAAGTTTTTTTTAGCTTATTTTGACATAATTGAACCAAATAGACTGCTTAGTGAAATATTATAAATATTTCGCTTTTTCAAATGTTTGAAACAAAAATATATCACATTTTAATTTTTTGTCTAATTTGTAGCTAATGCCCCTTTAAACTATATTCTCATGTGAACAACAACAAATGTGAAAAAAAAGAGATAATGAGACGAGCAACCCAACCACACAAAAAATATAAAGATATATACATTGTAGAGGTTAACAATAAACAAGTCTTTATACAGTATGCCAAGCTGTAGATCGCCTAGAGTGTAGAAAAGCTGTGAAATAATTTTATTAAGGCCACCCTTAAAAAATTCTTTGTTTGATGTTGCCTACCCATGCCTTGTAGGGTTGGGTAGGTAGGTAGGGATTTAATTTGTTTGCCAACAACATAAGTTTCATGTTTTAGACCAGAAAATGATGTATGCATGATGAGAGCAGGGAATTTTTTTTTACAAAAATTTGAAGTGATTTGTGTCTTAAATTGTTTTGGGGTAGACTGCTTTTTAGGTGGGTAGCATCAAACAATTTAAATTTTATTTTTTGCCTAAAGTTCTATCATCAATACCAAAACCTGAATTAGAAAAGGTGTTTTAAGATCTGTCAAAAGACTAAAGAACCCTTTTTAATAATGTGTGATGATTCATATGATAAAATCAGGTTCAATTGGGATCTTCATATAATTATAGCTTTTTGTGGTTGATATTACAAAATGTAATTGCATATCAATTTTGTTTTTAATATTATTTAAAAAAACATGTTTAAGTAACATAAAATTATTAAAAAGGCCCATTTAGCAAAGTTATCTTGTTCCTTGTAACTTTTATTATCATTTTCTTATCAAATGTCTATTTTAGTACTGATGGTAACCATAGTTGATGGGTCTTCAACCTTAATTCTTAAAAGAGATCATAAATGTATTTACACTTTGTATCTATTGGAACCTCAAATGATTGACAGTTATTTTTTTAACTTTATATTGAACAGACAGGTATCAGATAAAGACAGTGTACAGAGTCTATAGACATGACACTTAGCCCTTTGACAGCAATTTGCACCAATTTTTGTTTTCCTACCAGTACTTAGCTTCCTATCTACATTACAAACATATACCTCATTGTTTTACATATATTATTTATTCATATATGAAAAGGTACACTAACACTTCCTGAGAATGTATTGACCACACATGTACTAAAATATACATGTATATACATATTTATACTTTTTTTGTGGTTTTTGTGGCTAGCTTTCTCATTAACTTAAAGTAATTACACTCATGGCATTCTTTTCCTTTACATCTGTGGTTATATTTTTACTAACTGACAGAATTGATGATATGGTCACTTTTTTCAGATATTTGCACCAATTTTGGTTTAACTGTCTACTTTACAAACCTATGGCTCATTGCTACATATATTATTTATGCATATATGAAAAGGTAGACACTAGCACTTCCTGTGAAACTAATTGTCCACACATGTACAAAAATATACATGTATTTACATATTTATACTTTTTTTGTGGTTTTTGTGGCTAGCTGTCTTATTATTGTTTAATTATCTCATTAACTTGTACTGGTAATTACACTCTTGGCATTCTTTTCCTTTACATCTGTGGTTATATTTTTACTAACTGACAGTTTTGATGATATGTGACCACATTATGATTAGTGTCTTATCAACTGACCATCAAATATTTTGACAAGTTATATCCGTGCTGACTGGAGTAGTGAATGTAGGCACCAACCGTTCATCTTTAGGGGCATGTTTTTATAAGATGAATTGTTCTGATTCCAAATTTCTTGAAAAAATAATTTCTTTTTTCTTCAAAAGGGAATGGAAAAATGTTTTGTTCCATTGAAAATAATGGGAACAAAAAAAAATTGAGTTTCAAAAAACTTCTTGTTCCTATAAGTTATTTATAAAAAAATAGTGTGGTTTTTATACGAGTCGTATATTGGTATGTTGTTGGCGTTGTCGTCCGAAGACACATTGGTTTTTGCACAATAACTTTAGTTTAAGTGAATGGATCTCTATGAAATTTTGCCATACGGTTCAATACCACAAAAGGAAGGTTGGGATTGATTTTGGGGGTTATGGTACCAACAGTTTAGGAATTAGGGGCAAAAAAGGGGCCAAAAATAAGCATTTTCTAGTTTCCAGACAATAACTTGTGGAACGGTGTATGGATCTCTCTGAAATTATACCACAAGTTTCCATACCACAAAGGGATGGTAAGCATTTGCTTTGGGGGGTTATGGCTCAAACCGTTTAGGAATTAGGGGCAAAAAAGGGGATAAAACAAGGGTGTCCTTGTTAATGGACAAATACTTTAGTACAAAACATAATTTTAAGCAGTGTAAGGGAGGTACATCATTTGAATTACCTCCCTTACACTGCTTTTAAATTTTGTATAAAGGTTACAAGAGCGCAATTATTCGTAATGCATTTTCCATAGGATACCAGTGGTGTTCGGTATTTTATTTCTCGAAAACTACACAAACTTGAGAAAAACGGGTAGCAGTTCCTGTTACTAGAAATGCCAGTGTTGCATAACAACCAAAAAAATATATATGGTCATGTGGCAAAAATTGACTTAAAATTCAGTTGAAAAAGATCGTCTATTTTTTCCGCTTAATGAAAAAGTCATATTTTTAATGGCTCCGACGTGCAGAAATGGAAGATATTTTCTATACTTTGTAAAATGTGAATTTGATTTTCTGGATTTTTTAAACCTAATTGGATAAGCTTTCGATTAAAAGTAATTCCAATCCTGTATCATCCAATCAGAAGCCGTACAGGATTCTATTCTGAGTACCATCTTGGGGTAAAAAACTTGCCGGTAAAATGTAAACAAATAATTGCGCTCTTGTAACCATAAAGTAATGGTGAATGAACAATTAAGACAATTTAAAAGCAGTGTAAAGGAGGTAATCCAAATACGTTTTGATTACCTCCCTTACACTGCTTTTAAATTATGTTTAAAGAAATGCATATTTATAAAGGAAGACCAGTAAAAATATCTGCAGATGTTGCATCTTTTTTTTTTTTTACAAAAAAATCCATATGAAAGATTTGACACCATATTTTAAATTCTATTATAAAATAGATAAAGTTAGCACTATGGTAAATTTAAATGGGTAATTATGGTTGCAAACTCCATTGGAAATTTGAATTGAGATTATGACCATATCTTGAGTGAAAGAATTTTTTGGGGGGAAAAAGGGGGGGGGGGATGGGGGTGGTGGTAAAAAGAAATTGTGGGGGGTCAATTTTTTCTCATTTCAGATTTCTGAAATTAAAAAGAAAAATTCTTCAAATATTTTTTTTGCTAAAAAAAAGTGTGTGGGGGGGGGGGGGGGGGGGGGGGGGGTTAATACGCAACAGCAAAGTGTATTGCACAAAAGCAAAAAATTGAATATAAATTCAAATCATATAACCAATTCTAAGTTCTTTGACTACATTTATTCTGTGTCAGAAACCTTTTATGTGTCAAATTTTAATTACAATCCAAATTCAGACCTGTATCAAGTGCGAATATTGCGTCCATTTTTGCCCCAACTGTTCAGGGTTGGACCTCTGCGGTCGTATCCAGCTGCGCTCGGTGAAGCAATTTATTTTTTATATCAAAGTCCGTAGAAAAGGTTTGTCTCAAGAAAAAACCCATATACCCCACAAAAGATGAGTAATCAGTGCCTTATAGGACTGACAAGTAACAATTAAAATAAATAGGGAATGTGTCCATGGGACACAGATTTTATATCATATAAAATTATAAAGGGACATAACTGAGGAACGGTAAAAGTGAGGCTACCCAAATTTGTTATTGATCTGAGTTTTGTAGTAATAAGTATTGTGTATAAGTTTCATAACATTTGTTTGAGGCAAACTTAAGTAGGAGAACAGAAACGAAAAATTCAGCAATTTTTTTCCTTTTGTAAAGGGGCATAACTATAGATCAGTAAAAGTGATGCCACCTTAATTCAAACTTGATCTGTATTTTGTTGTAATAAGCATTGTGTATAAGTTTCAAAACATTTGGTTGAGGCAAACTAAAGTTACAGAACGGAAACGAAAAATTCAGCAATTTTTCCATTTGTTAAGGGGCATAACTCTAGAACGGTAAAAGTGACGCCACCAAAATTCAAACTTGATCTGTGTTTTGTGGTGATAAGCATTGTGTACAAGTTTCATAACATTTGGTTGAGGCAAACTAAAGTTACAGAACGGAAACGATAAATTCAGCAATTTTTCCATTTGTAAAGGGGCATAATTCTAGATCAGTAAAAGTGATGCCTACAAAATTCAAACTTGATCTGTGTTTTGTGGTAATAAGCATTGTGTATAAGTTTCATAACATTTGGTTGAGGCAAACTAAAGTTAGAGAACGGAAACAAAAAATTCAGCAATTTTTCCATTTGTAAAGGGGCATAACTCAAGAACGGTAAAAGTGACACCACCAAAATTCATACTTGATCTGTGTTTTGTGGTAATTAGCATTGTGTGTAAGTTTCATAACATTTGGTTGAGGCAAACTAAAGTTAGAGAATGAAAACGAAAAATTCAGCAAATTTTTTACAACCGCAAAAACTTTTTTGGGATTGTATAATGGTATGATGTCATCGTCTGCGTCGTTGTTTAAAGACACATTGGTTTCCGGACAATAACTTTAGTTTAAGTTAATGGATCTCTATGAAATTTTTTAAGAAGGTTCAATACTACAAAAGGAAGGTTGGGATTGATTTTGGGGATGATGGTCCCAATCGTTTAGGAATTAGGGGCCCAAAAAGGGGCTCAAAACATGCATTTTTCTAGTTTCAGGATAATAACTTGTGTATAAGTATTTCGATTGCTCTGAAATTGCACCACAATGTTTAAAACCACAAGTAGAAGGTTGGGATTATATTAGGGGTCATGGGGGGCCAACAGTTTAGAAATTAAGGGCCAAAAACAAGCATTTTTCTAGTTTCCAGACAATATACTTGTGTGTAAGTGTATGGATCTCTCTGACATTGTACCACAAGGTTCCATATAACAAAGGGAAGGCTGGGATTGAGTTTGGGGTTAATTGCCCCAAACATGTAGGAATAAGGGGCCGAAAAAGGATCAAAAACAAGCATTTTTCTAGTTTCCAGACAATAACTTGTGTTCAAGTGTATGGATCTCTCTGAAATTGTACTACAAGGTTCCATACTACAAAGAAAAGGCTGGGATTAAGTTTTGGGGTTATTGCTCCAAGAAGGGTTTCAAAAAGTTGGGGAGGAGGGGGGGGATTTTTGTCCCAATTTTTTTAAGGGATTCATATTTTTTTTCAAAAATTTTTAAAATTTCGAATTTTTGAAAAGTTTCAAGAAGAAATCTTCAATTGCACAGTATTGCGCAGTGGATTTATAAGATCTTTGACCACATTTATTTTGTGTCAGAAACCTATATTATGTCATAAAATTTGATCACAATCCAAATTCAGACAGTATCAAGCTTGAATATTGTGTCCAAATTTGCCCCAACCGTTCAGTGTTCGACCTCTGCGGTCGTATCAGGCTGCCCATCGAAGCATTTTATTCCATTTGTAAAGGGGCAAACTCTAGAACGGTAAAAGTGAAACCACCAAAATTCAAACTTGATCTGTGTTTTGTGGTAATAAGCATTGTGTATAAGTTTCATAACATTTGGTTGAGGCAAACTAAAGTTAGAGAACAGAAACCAACTTTGGGATGTACGGACGGAGGGACGGATGGATGGACATGCGGACGGACAAGGGTAAAACTTAATGCCCCATCCGCTACGGCGGGGGCATAAAAAGTGAAAGAACTATTTTTAGCTCATCTCACCAAAAGGGTTAAGTGAGCTATTCTCCTCCCTTGGCATCCGTCACCATCCATTGTCTGTTAAGTTTTATTCTTCTCCTCTTAGAGTACTGGAACAATTAGAACCAAACTTGGCCACAATCATCATTTGGGTATCTAGTTTAAAAAATGTGTCAGATGATCTCGCCTTTAATCGACTTGGTCACATTGTCTATTATCTTGAAAACTGCTAAAGATAAAGAAAATTTGACAGGGCAAAGAATGTTGAGATCTACCTCCTGTCCATTAAACCAATATTGCCAGATGACTCCATATAGGAGTTATTGCCCTTAATGACAAATTTTTTTTTTACTAATTTTTTTTGTATTGCCTATTATCGAGAGAACCTTTAAATAGCAAAATGATCAGGAAGACAAGAACTGTTTAACACCAGATAACTGTTTGCAAAGGTGACTGTTCATTGATAAAATCTTTGATTTGGATTTCCTTCAAAATAGACTACAACATTGAGCAGGGGTATAATTAGCTAGTAATAACTCACAGCACATCTAGTTTATAACAGTTTCTGGAAAATGTAAGAATTGACCACTTGCAAGAAAATGTAACACAAGTATAGTTTTGGTTGTAATAGTAAATAGTCAAAAAAGGTCATCTACAATGTACATATACAATGTAATATTTTTCTGTTTGATAGGATGTTATATTTGAGAGAAGATAAAGTTACAGATGGGAAGTGTAAACAAGAGGTCCTTAGTAATGCTGTTAAAACAATAGAGGATTACTTTGTTGCTCCACCAGGTATGATGAACATTAATATTCAAAAATCAAAATGCATTGACAGAGAAATCCTATATTTTCAATTCAGTTGTTCAGAAAACAAATGGGACAAATATGCAGTTATTCAGACATAGCAGATCTCATAATAGTTTAGATACATGGACCAAAAATTTATAATCGCTCCTTATTTTTTCCCTTGACAAGCAAAATTAAAGTTAGGTAACTCATACCTTAATGACCTTCTTAAAAAATTGTGGTTGATTATCCAACAACTGTCAAATAACTATCAACATTATTATAAATCACAATAAGACAAAAAAAATAAAACTTCCTAATTAAGAATCAGTGGCAAATACAAAAAGATAAAAGTCAGTTAACAGAGTTCTGGAAAAGTGGTGGTCCGAAGGTTTTGACCATCAAAATTTGCAGAGGACCACCACAATTTTGATATTTTGCAATAGAAATAATAGTGAGGACCAGCAGATTTTTTCAAGGATAACCAGGAAAAGAAAGATTTTGAGAACTCTGTCAGTATGCTAAAAGACAATATAGGTATTAAGCCTTTCTTGCAAATATTTAAAGTATTTTAAAATCTTGATTTCTGTTTTAGGAAATATTCCACTGAAGACAAAAGAGAGAGACTATGGCAACAATTCAAAGGGAAGCTGATAAAACCTGACGGAAAGTCTACAGTAACTAGGGTCCTCATAATATCTAGATATGACATACTGGGTTGCAATTGATGTTGTCCAGCTTCCTGTGTCATCTTTTATGCATTGACATCATATTTGCATTAAAACATAATTGATAATTAAATATGACATTATTTTAAGGAATTTGTGTTTTGATTCTTTATCATTCAAATAAAGTAAATTCATTTTTTTGTTATATGAAATATTTTTATTAAACTAGTCATGGACCTTCAGGGGTGGTGGGGGGAATAAACTGTTATCACAGAGATATGTCTCGCTTTTTTGTAATTTTGATAATGCAAATGTTGAAATTAAATAGCAATACTTTAACATGTAAGTTATGCAAATATTCAAAGTTGATGAACCATGACAGAAGGTACATGGCTAAACAATCTCCATGGAATGAGATGTGCCAATGCTAATACAATTGCATACCAAATACCATTGACTTATAAGTCGTTCCCTTTAAACAAACCTAAACACAAACATTAACTTGTAAACTATGTAAAAGTTTCAAAGTCAATGAACCATGATCAGGGGTAGGGCTATATAATCTCCATGGAAACGATACTTCCAAATGCCAATAAATTTGCATACCAAATATCATTGACTTAACATTAGCAGTTCATCTTGAACTGATCTAATCACAAACTAATACATGTAAACTAAGCAAAAGTTTCAAAGTAAATAGACCATGACTGACGGGACGGGGCCAAAAATTCTCTATGGAAATGAGATGTGCTAATGCATATACAACTGAACACCAATTAACATTGGCCTACCACTAATGGTTCACCTTGAACTGACCTAATCACAAACTAATACATGTTAACTAAGCAAAATTTTCAAAGTCTTGGACCATGACTAAGGGGGCAGAGCTAAATAATCTCCATGGAAATGAGATATGCCAATGCTTATACAACTGCATACCAAATATCATTGACCTACCACTAGTGGTTCCCCATAATCACAAACTAATACATGTAAACTATGAAAAGTTTCAAAGTCAACAGACCTTGACTGAGGGGGTGGGGCCAAATAATCTCCATGGTAATGAGATGTGCCAATGCTAATAAAACTGCATACCAAATATCATTGACCTACCACTAGTGGTTCACCATGAACTAGACCTAATCACAAACTAATACATTGTTGACGCCGCTGCCCCCGCCGTTGCTGGAAACAGCATACCTATGTCTCGCTTTTTGACTCCGTCAAGGCGAGAAATAACAAAATGACATACAATATTGTACATACAACATGTAAAATGGAAAGTATGGGATACAAATGTACCAGAGTTGAGCAACATTGTTGCTTGATAAAACTGGGAATTCATATGATACAATGCAGTCATTCACAAAGGGTGTATGTAAACTGTCAACTGTTAGGTCTCCAGGTATAACGTTTTTGTTCGTTTGTCAGTCAGTCCTGTTCTTGTCATCACAACTCCTCTGAAACCACACAACAGAATTTCATGAAACTTTGAAAGTTAATGAGGACAATATATATGTAGATGTGCATATCAACAAGAAATTTTTTATCAATTGACTTTTTATGCCCCAACCGTAGCGGAGGGGCATTAAGTTTTACTCTTGTCCATCCGTACATCCTGAAATTGGTCTCTGTTCTCTAACTTTAGTTTGCATCAACCAAATGTTCTGAAACTTATACACAATGCTTATTACTACAAAACACAGATCAGGTTTGAATTTTGGTGGCTTTACTTTTACCTTTCTAGAGTTATGCCCCTTTACAAATGGAAAAATTGCTGAATTTTTCGTTTCAGTTCTCTAACTTCAGTTTGCCTCAACCAAATGTTATGAATCTGATACACAATGCTTATTACCACAAAACACAGATCAAGTTTGAATTTGGGTGGTCTCAATTTTTTCTCTCGAGTTATGCCCTTTACAAATGGAATAAAATGCTCCGCAGGGCGCAGCTTGATACGACCGCAGAGGTCGAACCCTGAACAGTTGGGGCAAGTATGGACACAACATTCAAGCTTGATACAGCTTTGCATTTGGATTGTGATTAAATATTTGACACAGCATAGGTTTCTGACACAGAATGAATGTGGTCTAAGAACTTAAAAATTTTAAATTGGACATTCACCTATTATGGTCCAATATCCAAAATCTAAATACATGGTTAGATTCAGCATATCAAAGAACCCCAAGAATTCAATTTTTGATGAAATCAAACAAAGTTTAATTTTGGTCCCTTTTGACCTCAATGTGGACAAAGTTGATAACGGGGCCCAAAAATCAAAAATCTAAATACATGGTTAGATTCAGCATATCAAAGAACCCCATATATTCAATTTTTGTTGAAATCAAACAAAGTTTAATTTTGGACCCCGATTTGGACCAACTTGAAAACTGGGCCCATAATCAAAAAACTAAATACATATTTAGATTCAGCATATCAAAGAACCCTAAGAATTCAATTTTTGTTAAAATCAAACTAAGTTTAATTTAGGACCCTTTGGACCTTAATGTAGACCAATTTGAAAACGGAACCAAAAATTAAGAATCTAAATACACAGTTAGATTCGGCATATCAAAGAACCCCAATAATTCAATTTTTGATGAAATCAAACAAAGTTTAATTTTGGACCCTTTGGACCTCAATGTGGACCAATTTAAAAACGGGGCCCAAAATCCAAAAACTTAATACACGGTTAGATTCAGCATATTAAAGAACCCCAAGAATTCAAGAATAAAACCCCATTGAAATTGGTCAAGAAATAAGCAATTTATACGAAGTATCTTCTTTTGCACAATACTGTGCAATTAAATATTTCTTGCTATTGCGCAATACTGTACAATTGACAATTTCTTGCTATTGCGCAATATTGTGCTATTGGATATTTCTTGCTATTGCGCAATACTGTGCAATTGAAGATTTCTTGCTATTGCGCAATACTGTGCAATTGAAGATTTCTTGCTTTTGTGCAATACTGTGCAATTGAAAATTTCTTGCTTTTGCACAATAATTTACACATCCTGTTTGGTGTGTATCTCCTACCATATCATTATTATTTGCTTTTAAATATAAATCAGAAATAACCAACTTAAAATGGAAAATTTTAAAAGAAAAAAAAAGGAAAAAAAGAAAAAAAATGAAAAAAAAATAATCCCCCCCCCCCAAATTTTTTGAACCCCCTTATGATTCATCACCCCCAAACTCAATCCCAGCCTTCCCTTTGTGGTATGGTACTTTGCAGTACAATTTCAGAGAGATCCATACACTTGAACACAAGTTATTGTCTGGAAACAAGAAAAATGTGTTTTTTTCCCCTTTTTGGCCCCAAATTCCTAAACGTCTAGGGCAATTACCCCCAAACTCAAACCCAGCTTTCCCTTTGTGATATGGAACCTTGTAGTACAATTTCAGAAAGATCCATACACTTACACACAAGTTATTGTCCTGAAACTAGAAAAATGCTTGTTTTTTGCCCCTTTTTGGCCCCTAATTCCTAAAATATTGAGGCAATTACCCCCATCATCAATCCCAGCCTTCTCTTTGTGGTATGGTACCTTGCAGTACAATTTCAGAGAGATCCATACACTTGAACACAAGTTATTGTCTGGAAACTAGAAAAATGCTTATTTTTGGCCCCTTTTTGGCCCCCAATTCCTAAATTTTTGAGGCAATTACCCCCAAAATCAATTCCAGCATTCCTTTTGTGATATGGAACCTTTTGGTTCAATGTCAGAGAGATCCATACACTAACACACAAGTTATGTCTGGAAGTTACAAAAATGCTTATTTTTGGCCCCTTATTCCTTTACTGTTGGTACCATAACCCCCAAAATCAATCCCAACCTTCCTTTTGTGGTATTGAACCTTGTGGTAAAATTTCATAGAGATCCATACACTTAAACTAAAGTTAGAGTGCGAAAACCAATGTGTCTTCGGACGACGACGCCAACGTCATACCTATATACGACCACAAAAATTTTTTTGCTGTCGTATAAAAATTGCTAATTTTTTCATTTCTGTTCACTGCCATTAGTTTGCCTCACCAAATGTTATGAATCTGATACATAATGCTTATTACCACAAAACACTGATCAAGTTTGAATTTTGGTGGCGTCACTTTTAGTTTAAGAGTTATGCCCCTTTACAATTGGAAAAATTGCTGAATTTTTTATTTTGTTCTCTTACTTAAGTTTGCCTCAATCAAATGTTATACAACTTATACATGTTTATTATTACAAATGGGAAACAGATGATGCCCCCGCATGCATTAACATTATTAAAGGAATATAACTCAAGAACTGTAAAAGTGACCCAAATTCGTACTTGATTGGAGTTTTGTGGTAATTAGTATTTTGCGTAAGTTTCATAACATTTGGTTGAGGCAAACTAAAGTTAGAGAACGGAAACAAAAAATTCAGCAATTTTTCCTTTTGTAAAGGGACATAACTCTCGTATGTTAAAAAAAGTGACGCCACCAAAATTGAAACTTGGTCGGTGTTTTGTGGTAATGAGCATTGTGTATAAGTTTCATGACATTTGGTTGAGGCAAACTAAAGTTAGAGAACGGAAACCAATTTTGGGATGTACTTACGTACAGACGGACAAGGGTAAAACTTTATGCCCCCTTCTGCTAAGGCGTGGGCATAAAAAATGAGGTCAATGTCAAGTTAACCCTGACAAAATAACATGTATACCAAACAATTAATTCTATACATCCAATATAGGTGACCTATTACTAATTGTATCAGAGAAATAGATCTTATGAAATTTGTAGACAAAAACCCATGAATATGTGATCAGGTCATATGAAATAAAATGCTTCGCTGGGGCGCAGCTTGATACGACCGCAGAGGTCGAACCCTGAACAGTTTGGGCAAGTATGGACACAACATTCAAGCTTGATACAGCTCTGAATTTGGATTGTTATTAAATATTTGACACAGCATAGGTTTCTGACACAGAAAGAATGTGGTCTAAGAACTTGAATTTTTTTAATTTACCTATTATGGTCCAATGTCCAAAATCAAAATACATGGTTAGATTCAGCATATCAAAGAACCCCATATATTCAATTTTTTTAAAATCAAACTAATTTTGGACCCCAACTTGGACAAACTTGAAAACTGGGCCCATAATCAAAAATCTAAACACATGTTTAGATTCAGCATATCAAAGAACCCCAAGAATTCAATTTTTGCTAAAATCAAACTAAGTTTAATTTTGGACCCTTTGGACCTTAATGTAGACCAATTTAAAAAACGGGACTTAAAATTAAAAATCTAAATACATGGTTAGATTTGGAATATCAAAGAACCCCAATAATTCAATTTTTGATGAAATCAAACAAAGTTTCATTTTGGACCCTTTTGACCTCAATATGAACCAATTTGATAGCGGGGCCCACAAATAAAAAATCTAAATTCATGGTTAGATTCAGCATATCAAAGAACCCCATATATTCAATTATTGTTGAAATCAAAAAAAGTTTAATTTTGGACCCCAACTTGGACCAACTTGAAAACTGGGCCCATAATCAAAAATCTAAACACATGTTTAGATTCAGCATATCAAAGAACCCCAAGAATTCAATTTTTGTTAAAATCAAACTAAGTTTAATTTTGGACCCTTTGGACCTCAATGAAGACCAATTTAAAAAACAGGACCCAAATTAAAAATCTAAAAACACGGTTAGATTTGGCATATCAAAGAACCCTAAGAATTCACTTTTTGATGAAATCAAACAAAGTTTAATTTTGGACCCTTTTGACCTCAATATGAACCAATTTGATAGCGGGACCTACAAATAAAAAATCTAAATACATGGTTAGATTCAGCATATCAAAGAACCTCATATATTCAATTTTTGTTGAAATCAAACAAAGTTTAATTTTGGGCCCCAATTTGGACCAACTTGAAAACTGGGCCCATAATCAAAAATCTAAACACATGTTTAGATTCAGCATATCAAAGTACCCCAAGAATTCAATTTTTGTTAAAATCAAACTAAGTTTAATTTTGGACCCTTTGGACCTTAATGTAGACCAATTTAAAAAACAGGATCCAAAATTAAAAATCTAAATACACGGTTAGATTTGGAATATCAAAGAACCCCAATAATTCAATTTTAGATGAAATCAAACAAAGTTTAATTTTGGACCCTTTTGACCTCAATATGAACCAATTTGATAGCGGGGTCCACAAATAAAAAATCTAAATACATGGTTAGATTCAGCATATCAAAGAACCCCATATATTCAATTTTTGTTGAAATCAAACAAAGTTTAATTTTGGGCCCCAATTTGGACCAACTTGAAAACTGGGCCCATAATCAAAAATCTAAACACATGTTTAGATTCAGCATATCAAAGTACCCCAAGAATTCAATTTTTGTTAAAATCAAACTAAGTTTAATTTTGGACCCTTTGGACCTTAATGTAGACCAATTTAAAAAACAGGATCCAAAATTAAAAATCTAAATACACGGTTAGATTTGGAATATCAAAGAACCCCAATAATTCAATTTTAGATGAAATCAAACAAAGTTTAATTTTGGACCCTTTTGACCTCAATATGAACCAATTTGATAGCGGGGTCCACAAATAAAAAATCTAAATACATGGTTAGATTCAGCATATCAAAGAACCCCATATATTCAATTTTTGTTGAAATCAAACAAAGTTTAATTTTGGACCCCAATTTGGACCAACTTGAAAACTGGGCCAAAAATCAAAAATCTAAATACATGTTTAGATTCAGCATATCAAAGAACCTCATATATTCAATTTTTGTTAAAATCAAACAAAGTTTAATTTTGGACCCTTTGGACCTTAATGTAGACCAATTTGAAAACTGGACCCAAAATTAAAAATCTAAAAACACTGTTAGATTCGGCATAACAAATAAATAAATGTGATCAAAGATTTTACAAATCTAATGCGCCATACTGTGCAATTAAAGATTACTTCTTGAAATTTTTCAATATTTGAAATTTGAAAAAAAAATAATATTTGAAGAATAATTCTTTTTAATTTCTGAAATCTGAAATGAGAAAAAATTGACCCCCCACAATTTCTTTTTATCCCCCCCCTTTTTTCCCCAAAAAAATTCTTTCCCTCAAGATATGGTCATAATCTCAATTCAAATTTCCAATGGAGTTGGCAACCATAATTACCCATTTAAATTTACCATAGTGCTAACTTAATCTATTTTGTAATAGAATTAAAAATATAGTGTCAAATCTTTCATATGGATTTTTTTGTAAAAAAAAATAATGCAACATTTGCAGATATTTTTACTGGTCTTCCTTTATAAATATGCATTTCTTAAAACATAATTTAAAAGCAGTGTAAGGGAAGTAACCAAAACGTTGTATTTGGATTACCTCCCTTACACTGTTTTAAATTATCTTTATTGTTCATTAACCATTACTTTTATACATAATTTAAAAGCAGTGTAAGGGAGATAATTTCAATGATGTATTTGATTTATCTCCCTTACACTGCTTTAAATTATGTTTTGTACTAAAGTATTTGACCATTAACCAGGACAACCTTGTTTTTCCCCCTTTTTTGCCCCTAATTCCTAAACAGTTTGAGCCATAACCCCCCAATGCAAATCCTAACCATCCCTTTGTGGTATGGAAACTTGTAGTATAATTTCAGAGAGATCCATACACCGTTCCACAGTTATTGTCTGGAAACTAGAAAATGCTTATTTTTGGCCCCTTTTTGGCCCCTAATTCCTTAACTGTTGGTACCATAACCCCTAAAATCAATCCCAACCTTCCTTTTGTGGTATTTAACCTTATGGTCAAATTTCAAAAAGATCCATTCACTTAAACTAAAGTTAGAGTGCGAAAACCAATGTGTATTCGGACAACGACGCCGGACGACGACGACGACGCCAACGTCATACCAATATACGACCACAAAATTTTTTTGCGGTCGTATAACAAGTCAGATAAACCTGTACTATGCATAGACCAATGAACATGGGGTCAAGGTCAGATGAGCCTTTTCTTGAACATAAAAATTGTTCACCACACCAAATATATTTGACACTTTACTGATTTTTACTGAGAACCAGACCTATTTATCGATTAATTGATTTAAGGGGTTTTGAGGAGTTGGTCATCACCTCTATCTGTAGTATAACATTTTCTCCCATTACATACTGGTATACGAATATGGATCAATATGCTGTATTTTAAGCCAATTTGGCTGTTAAGTGAAGCAAGAAATCATTATTGACCTAGTTAAGGGATGGATCAATTTATAAATGGCAATTAAGTTTCTGTCAATTAAATGTGCTATGCATTTCAGCTTTTTTTAGTCTCAGCGCATGAAGGCAATAAGTCTACTTTTACAGAGTAAATAAAGGGAAGGTACAAGTTTATGATCTCCAACTACATTTCTACTTATGACAGTTTTGAATTAAAATATGTGTTTGGAAGATAAAATTCATTTTTTAAGGAAAAACAAAATACTCTCAAGATATGGCTACGATCCACCTTGGAACTTGTACAGCTCAACAAATAAATTCTTTGTAACTGTGTACATTGACGTCAGTGACCAAAATTAGGCTCTCTCTCTTGAGCTTTTGTCACTTACCTGGATCTATATGCATCTACACAATGAGCTTCCTCCAACTTCTACGTCATTTTGTTGATGGTGGAGAGTTGTCTCATTGGCAATTCTACCACATCTTATATTTATATCTTGTATAATTTAAAAACACCTAAAAGTTTTCCCCAAAATGGTGATAACCTGTAACTCGCCTACCGGTATATGTAATCTTGAAAGTAAAATGCTTTAATATGTGAACTTTGTCAAACGTTCAAACTTGATGAACCATGACAGAAGATGCAGTGCCAAATAACCTCAAAGGATGGTGGTGTGCAAATGCCAATACAAATCCATACCAAATATCAATGATTTCCTATTAGAGGTTCCCCTTAAACTGTATAATAAATTGATGACACAATTACTGGCTCTTTGAACAAGGTGAGCAAAATGCTTTTTTGTTTTTTGTAAATGTTTTTTTACATAATCAGGCCATTGGGTTTCTTGTTTGAACTGTTTTACATTTCCTTGTCATTTCCTAGCCATTTGTAGCTTTCTGTGCAGTATGGGTTTTGCTCATTGTTGAAGAGTGTGCTGTGACCTTAAGTTGCTTACTTCTACATTATTTGATGGAGAGTTGGGTCTCATTGTCAATTTTGATACATCTTCTGATTTTTTTATTAGTCCATCCAAATTTGGTGGCATTCTAGAATATTGTAAGGTTGAGTGACGTTTCATTACACCTACACCCATGCAATTATAAACCTTGTCCACCATTTCCTTTTCTGTTAACAATAACTAGTATATATATTTCATTTTTTATTGTCACAATCATCACAGTTAAAATCAATGCATTTTACATTATAGTCTGAACATTACCTGTAAAAAGTAGGATATTAATATAATATTCTAGCACTATATCTTTAATTTTCAACTGGAAAATTAGCCAAAAATTAAAAAAAACTTCAGGACTTTTTTCAAAAGGATTCAAATTTTGTAAAAAAAATTTAGACGATTTTACCCTTCAATCCTGTGGATTTCTTGACATCTATCTTGATTCCTATCTGTTTCCAAGACTCTTTAAATTCCTTTCCTACCGATAGGAGTATCCTTTTTCTCAATTTCTCTGGATTTATCCCCAAGACTGAAATTCCAAATGACTAATCCAGATTTTCCTGATAATTTTCTAAAGACATGATCCTTATTGATCCAAAAAGGTCCAGAAATTTATCCAAATTATGATAGATCCAAAAAGATCCCGAGATTTATCCAAATTATGACTGATCCAAATTTGCAGGTGTAATAATTGAATTTCGGTCCCTTCCTATGATAGGGTGTTTCCTATTCTTTTTAAATCCTGACAGGTCCTCTTTTTATCTCATATTACCAAGTATAATCAAAAAAATATTTTCCTGATAATTTTCTAAAGACTTGATCCTTATAATGATCCAAAAAGGTCCAGAGATTTATCCAAATTACGATTGATCCAAATAATCAGATGTAATAATTGAAATCGGTCCCTTTCTACGTTAGGGCTATTCCTATCCTTTTTTTAATTCCAATCGGGTCCTCTTTTTATCTCATATTATCCAAGTATAATGCTTTTAATCCTGATTCAGGATGTGCTGTTTCCAATTCCAGAAATGTGTTCAGTGCATTTTCAAACATGGCTCTAGTAAAAAATTCAAACTTTTTTAATGAACAAAAAAAAATTGCTTTTCTCAAAATATAAATAATTTATTTTTCCAGTAACTTAAATAAATTAATTTAAATCAATTGATCCACATCAAATTCAGAAGTTTTGACTTATACAACAATTTTTTAAATTGAATAATAAAGAGTTTTTAGAAATTAATAAAAATTTAACCGTTTGAAAATGCACAATGGGAGACAATCCACGTGTATCGAGGACGGAAGACGCACATCCAAATCCTGATCAGTGATCCAAAAATATATTCCGAGACAAGAGCCTGATTGTTTGGATCCCTGCTCCTTCCCACCATATACCTTAAGAAGCAACAAAAATACAAAGGTTAGTTTTACTATCTTATATAATAAGAAACAATATACAGACTTGAAAAATTCATCTCTGATGACCGTACATTTTCTGATAATTACACAGTAAAAACATCAGCAGTAATTTAGAGGGTTTTTTTATTCAATGATTTGAAATGTCTATAAATGATAATCTTGAAAATTCCCCTCAAAATTTCTGATATGATAATCTTGAAATTTGCCTTCAAATGTCTCTAAACGATATTTTTTTAAAATTTGCCTGCTTTCAACATTCATTTTTTTATGAGTTCCTTTAAAAAAGTTATTGACAAACAGAATTTCAATTAAATTTGATGTAAAAAAATGTTCAATACCTGTTACTAATGAAGTGGAATAACTGAAATCAAAGTTTAATGTCCACTTATGATTGCATGTAAGTAAATAGTTTAATAAAATATTGCCATGATCGATAATAAAATTTCACTGAATAAATTTACTATACAACCCCCCTCCTTCGAATGTTTTGACCAATCTGTTGTTCTGTAGCTACCCTCTTTCATGTTCCCTTTCATATATAATAAAGTTTCACCCCTCAATGATAAATGTAAATACATTAAAAAAGAGCTTATTAAAACTAAATGACATGTTAAAATATACAAATGAATTTATTGAGTTAATGACTTTCTGTACAAAATGTTTTGTGATAAAATCTAAAATGACGATATGCAATGTATAACATGCATACCATATAGTCCTCTTGATACGATAGATGATAATTCCTGGAGAGGTATTAACCCACCATCTGTTTTAAGGCTGCTTTAGTACCTGTAAAATAATAAACAGTTGGGTCATTTTAATTTGTATATAATCAGACTACTGGTAATTTACATATTTAAATGGTTACCAATTTTTTGTGAATTGAGCTAAAAAAAATATTTTTCTGGGTAACTGGTAATTTACATATTTAAATTGTTACCAATTTTTTGTGAATTGAGCTAAAAAAAATATTTTTCTGGGTAAGAAATTTGTATTTTATAAACACTTTAACTTTAAGGCATTAGCAATACCAAAGAAAATTGGCACCCTATCAATAATAATGAATGCACATTTATTAACAAACATAAGTATTTATACAGGATGTAACTTCATATCATGATTTCTATCAATATAACAATGTTCTTTCTATCAGACAGAAAATAATCAATGGTGCTGGGAATTAGCTGCAAAATTATAATCAATTAATCGAAACAATCAGACAGCATGCTCAGATTCAAATTAATCATGTTTTTTTTAATAATATGCAAATAATGTCAGAATTTAGTACTGCTGAACCCAAAAGGATAAACAAAATTTAACTCAGTGTGCCTTACTGTGCATTTTCAGCATTTAAATTAAACTTTTCTATTGCTGTTTGCTATTCTTTAAATGTAACAATAACCTATTTCAAAAAATATTTTTAAAAAAATATTTAAAATTTTTGTTTTAACTTTTCAACGGCAGAGGGAGAATGAACCATTAATCATGATAATATGTTACCAAAATTATCAAGATTCTGAAATTCAGTTTATTGTGCCAGTCTTGTATAAAAGCAGCAATCAACAGTAGAAAACTATTTACAGCTACATTTAACAACCTTTAACTGACCAATGTAATTCTACAGTTTCTGAATGAAAGCATGTTTTAATAATTCCATTAATTTCCAAATGTTTAAAAAAATTTGTCCATAATTATTTTATAGATGCCCAATTTGAAAAAAAAATAAATAAAAATTTCCATTTTCATAATGAATTAAGCCAAATAAATTTTTAAGATTTTACAGCCTCCAGGCTGTTGTATAAAGTTGTCTACCAATTTCTGCAGTCCTAGGATTTTGAAGATGAGCGAGATTGTCGTGGAGGTGGGGAGTACCGTGGTGATGCCCTTGATCTCCGTGGTGAATTGCTCCTGCTCCGTGATCTTGACCTTCCTCCTCTGTAGTCTTCTTTCACTCTTACATATGACACTTCACCCTGTAAAAAAAAATAAACTGTTATCACAGCGATATGTCTCGCCTTTTGGAATTTTGATAATGCAAATGTTGAAATTAAAATAGCAATACTTTAACATGTAAGTTATGCAAATATTCAAAGTTGATGAACCATGACTGAAGGTACATGGCTAAACAAAATCCATGGAATGAGATGAGCCAATGCTAATACAACTGCATACCAAATACCATTGACTTATCATTCACTTTAAAAAAAAACTAAACACAAACATTAACTTGTAAACTATGTAAAAGTTTCAAAGTCAATGAACCATGATTAGGGGTGGGGCTATATAATCTCCATGGAAAAGAGACTTGCAAATGTAAATATCATTGACTTAACATTAGCAGTTCTTAAACTGATCTAATCACAAACTAATACATGTAAAATAAGCAAAAGTTTCAAAGTCAATACACCATGACTGAGGGGGCGGGGCCAAATATTCTCCATGGAAATGAGATGTGCTAATGCTTATACAACTGAACACCAATTAACATTGGCCTACTACTAATGGTTCCCCTTGAACTGACCTAATCACAAACTAATACATGTTAACTTAGCAAAATTTTCAAAGTCTATAGACCATGACTAAGGGGGCGGAGCCAAATAATCCCCATGGAAATGAGATATGCCAATGCTTATACAACTGCATACCAAATATCATTGACCTACCACTAGTGGTTCCCCATAAATTTACCTAATCACACACTAATACATGTAAACTATGAAAAGTTTCAAAGTCAATAGACCTTGACTGAGGGGGCGGGGCCAAATAATCTCCATGGTAATGAGATGTGTCAATGCTAATACAACTGCATACCAAATATCATTGACTTACCACTAGTGGTTCACCATGAACTAGACCTAATCACAAACTAATACATTGTTGACACCGCCGCTGTCGCCGGAAACAGCATACCTATGTCTCGCTTTTTGACTTAGTCAAGGCGAGACAAAAAACTTTCCATTCAGTCAAAGAACGGGCAGTAATCCTGAATATTAAAATTTATCTTGAAGCATCTTTGAAGATTTAATCTGACTTAATCTAAGGATTTTTTACCTTATTTCATTCTGAATACATCTATACTTTAATAATTGGTTAATAATCAGTCTTTTAGACTTTGAGTGACAGGCTTAATATTCTTCCAGCTATTTTCATACCTCATGTGATCTGAACTTTGAATCATCTAACTTTCTGACTGCATATTTCATGTCTTCTTTACGTAAAAATTCAACAACACCAGTTCCATCTTTGTAAACATCAGCATAACACACATCACCAGCCTCTCTCATGTGATCCTTCAAATCCTGCCAGCTTCCAGATGGTGGTAAACCTAGAAGGAAAATAAGCAAATAATTTGTGTTGACTTAATGACTGGTCTATGATTTGCCTTTGAAGTTAGACACACTACTATTATTTTACCACAAGAACGGAATGGAAATAAATGTACAGTATTATGTGCTTTTTGTCTGTATTTCCCTGGAATAACTTGATTTTTTAATTCTCAAAAAAAAATGTGTTTCTTCAAAGTTTCCCTCCAATCTTCCATATCAAAGTAAGACACAAAGGATATGGGGTATCCATACAGTACATGCACAGCAAACACACACAAAAAGCAAAGAATAAAAAAAAAAAAATGTACATGGATGGCCCACTGGCACTATCATTTTCTATGTTCAGTGGACCGTGAAATTGGGGTAAAACCTCTAATTTGGCATTAAATTAGAAAGATCATATCATAGGGAACATGTGTACTAAGTTTCAAGTTGATTGGACTTCCAACTTCATCAAAAACTACCTTGACCAAAAACTTTAACCTGAAGCAGGACAGATGGACGGACGAAAGGACGCAGACCAAAAAACATAATGCCCCTAGGGGGCATAAAAACACTCTCATCTCACTGCAAATTTAAGACAGTGTTCTCCCCAGGATTTTTGGATAGCACCAGGGTAACGCGTGTGAACAGCTTGGTGAAATGATTCATACAATCAGTTGTGTCGCGTGGCGTCGCTATATTTCTAGTTACTGCAGTTTTTATGTCTCTTGTTTAGTTTTAATACTGTGGTACTGTGTTATGTCAGAATATTATTGGTTAAAAAGATCAATAAACAGTTTGTATACTTTTAATATTTTTTTAAAATAAATAAAACATGATTCATTACATAATATTCATCTAAATTTAAAGTAATTAAATCTTTTATAAAATCCATGATCAATAAAAATAAAATATCATTCAAACAGGAACATATATATTGTTAGATATACTGTTCCCAGATTCAAAAGAGAACAAAAATGTTCAATTTAAAAAACCTTTCTAGTTTCTAGAAAGAAAGTTGTTGTATGTGAAAGGATTCCTGTCATAAGGAGATATAAAATTAACAAGAAACAAAATTGTGTAATAATCTGAACCAGTTTCTATCTTAAATTTTAATAAAAAGAAATTTTTCATAAATTTTAAAACATTTTGCCATAGATTTCATGAATATGTAAATATTAGCCTTTCTTGTCTTTGGTGATAATCAAACATAGATACAGACTTAATACTGCACTGAAATCCAAATCTTTATTTGTCATGATCCATTTCAAAAGAATTGCTAAATCTATAAATTTATCTCAGGTCTATAGATCTATAAGTAACATATTCAATGTCAACAACAAAGTCTCCCTATTTTCCCGCCTAAATGACAGGAAGTAGATATAAATAGATTTAACATGTGCTTATGGATTAAAACTGCAAGATCACTTCTGTTATTCATTAATGATCATATGGATATATATATCCAGTTTTAAGGTACAGTCATGCATTTTATTTATAAAATAGAATAGATTGCAGTTAATTGTAAATAATCTTGAATATTCTACGTGAACTAACTGGGTCATGTGATCCTTCTCCTTTGAATTACTTGTTGACAGTTTGAAACCAGAATAGCATGCAATAACTATGTCATAAATATAGATAAATTTGGCCATGGTTTAATCAGAGACATATAAAACTATATAATAAGTATTGAGCTAACTTTATAATGTACAAAATATGTACCGCCGTGTGTACAACTATCGGGTCAACACGGTTTGTGTACAAAGTATTTGCCGACTTGTCAGGTGGTGAGTGAAGCCTTAAAATAGTTATCTTTGATCATAAAGTTATGATCTCTAAATTAAAACACAAAAGAATCATGTAAAAAGTGTTAATTACATCGGTTAAATCCAATCAACAAAGGTTAACCTCATAAAGGTAAATCAATCACGTGGTGTAAACAATGTGTGTTGAACTGGTTTGAACTGGTCAAATTTCACCTGGAATTTTATACCGCACGGAAAAGATTTAACAAATCGTTTAAAACTTTACCGATTTACGATTTTTTAACTGAAAATTTTAGCACCACGGAGAAAAATTATACATCGCGGTAAGAACGATACCACCACGGTGAAAAATTATACATCGCGGGCCCGCGGTCCTTTAAGGGCCTGTGGAGAACACTGTAAGATTGCCCGTAGCACTGGTTTGAGCAGAAATCTTTGCAAAAAAATTTGAGCAGACTTTTTAAGATGTAACACCACCAAATCGGGCCCAGTCAAAAAAGAAAACATACTGGGTGGTAGTACTTATTTAAAACAAAAAAGTTTCTACACATAGGTGTAAATGTTACAACTATGTAGAATATACAGTATTTTAGTAATCAAGGTCTCAAATGAAAGGTGAAGGACTGGTGATCCTTGTAAAACACATATAATTTATGAATGAATTCTGAGGAAATATATTGCCTGTTTTTCAGATATGAAAATTACATTTTCAACATTTTTTTTACAATGTATGTCATTCTTTTCAAATAAGTGAAGTAATATTTATGCCTTTATTCGATGGGTAAAAGCTACACTAATTGTTGTTCCAAACCCATTCTGTTTAATCGATGACATATTGTTATTTACAATGTTAATGGTCCATTCAGCATCTATAACATGCCTCGCATTATCATACAAAATGTACCTACCTGAAACCAGAACTCTGTACTCTGACCTCCGTGATGGTGGACCACCTCTTCCTCCTCCACCACCACCACCACCACCAAATCCACCTCTACCTCTTCCTCCGCCACCTCCTCCCCCATATCCTCGTCCACCACCACCACCGCCTCCACCTCCTCTGTATCCGCCGCCACCGCCATCAGGACCACCACCACTGCCGCCACCTCTGGGGAATTCTACTCTCAATGTGTAGCCATCATAGTTGTAACCATCTCGCTGCACAACTGCATCATCAGCATCTCTGCAAAACAAATAACATTTTTAACAACTGACAATGTAGATTAGGCCTTTGTTTCACACAAAATCTTACGACTGACAAAAATGGTAAAGCCACAACATATAATTATCTAGTTCTTTGGACTCCTACTGTGGAAAAAGAATACCTATGGAGCAAAGTTGCCTACTTGAAGGCCTGCGAGGTATGATACTTAAACAAGTGATTTTCATGTCATTATCCCAGATTCAGCACAAGGTCATCACCTGACATGACCGGTCATCCTACATGTGTTTACACACAGATGTTGGTACTGATAATTTTAGCAACATAATTAGTTCCTGGATCATTATATATTTAAAGCTACAATAAAATTAAATCACTAATTCTAGTGATTTATTTGTACTACATAAATAGGTGATTATTAAAAAAAGACAACTCTTACTTCCAACATTTCTGGACAAAATGTTACTTGAATCATTGATTTAAGAAATCACTCATTGAAGTAATTCCACTGACTTGAATATGACAGCTATTTTAAGAAACTCACGACTCGTGTGATAAAATAAACTCTTTGCCACCATTTTTATCCAACCAATAACCAAGGAAATAATCCAATCATTAAAAATACGGGAAAACTCTGCCCATGGACAACTCAGGACCACAGGAAGACGACTTAGACCGACCACACGACTCAAAATCAAGTATTGAAGATATTACCTCTCATTTACCATGTACTATTTCTGTATGTATACAGAATATTAATTTATATTAAATAACATTCTATTTCAATAGTTAGTAAATAATTTTTAATTTATTAATTTTCTTACGAGTTAACATAATTTTAGCATGAGAATTTCAAAATAGCCAAAAATGGCGGGAGCAACTCTTTATGAATTTATTATGAAAATGTATTTTGCTGTTTAAAAAATACTCATACCTTTGGGTAAAATAACAGAACCTTTCCAAATGTACCCAGGTTGTGACTGTCAATTGTAGTCACTTTAGGGTCCAAATAAATTTTGGCTGATATGTAAAATTCATTAAATTAACTGGGCTAAACTAGAAGAAAATCTGCGGTCAAAAAAATAAGTTTTATTGTTGTAAATGAGAAGAAAGACCCATTCAAGGAGACAGGATGCGATTGCTAGCTTGGACAACTTGCTTCATACAGAATAAAAATACGCATAATTGTCAATTTTTATTATTTAATAGACCAGCAGTTAATCTTTTATAAAGTATAAACAATTTTCGGCACGTATACAACTGTCAGCATTGTGTCCAAATTAAGATTTCCGATTAGATCACCGGTCAGCATTTGGGTGGTTAGTGAAGCCAAAAAAATTGTTGTAAGAAGTCATTATCTCCTTGTCAATTAAAACACAAAAGAATCCTGTTACAAGTGCAAGTCCATCGATTAAGGTTAACCTCATAAGGTAAATCGTTCATGTGGTGTAAACAATCAACGTGCTGGTTCAATTTCAGCTGGAATTTTATGCCGCATGGATAAGATTTAACAAGTTGTTTAAAATTTGACTGATTTACAATTTTTAACTGAAAATTTTAGCACTGCGGACCAAAACTTTACCACCACCCTAAGACTGATAGAACCCCGCTCATAAATTATATCCCTGTAGACCTGCGGTCCTATAAGGGCCTGGGGAGAACACTGATAATGATTTCAATACACATTTATGAGGGGCCTGATGGGGGGGGGGGTCTCATCACGATTCACGAGTTGATTTTTTTGTCAATCACGATTCACAGAAAATAAATTTCCATGATCACGGATCACGAAAATATAAAAAAATAAAATGCTCCGCAGGGCGCAGCTTGATACGACCGCAGAGGTCGAACCCTGAACAGTTGGGGCAAGTATGGACACAACATTCAAGCTTGTTACAGCTTTGCATTTGGATTGTGATTAAATATTTGACACAGCATAGGTTTCTGACACAGAATGAATGTGGTCTAAGAACTTAAAAATTTTAAATTTGACATTCACCTATTATGGTCCAATATCCAAAATCTAAATACATGGTTAGATTCAGCATATCAAAGAACCCCAAGAATTCAATTTTTGATGAAATCAAACAAAGTTTAATTTTGGACCCTTTTGACCAATTTAAAAACGGGGCCCAAAATCCAAATACTTAATACACGGTTAGATTCAGCATATTAAAGAACCCCAAGAATTCAAGAATAAAACCCCATTGAAATTGGTCAAGAAATAAGCAATTTATACGAAGTATCTTCTTTTGCACAGTACTGTGCAATTAAATATTTCTTGCTATTGCACAATACTGTACAATTGACAATTTCTTGCTATTGCGCAATATTGTGCTATTGGATATTTCTTGTTATTGCGCAATACTGTGCAATTGAAGATTTCTTGCTTTTGCACAATACTGTGCAATTGAAGATTTCTTGCTATTGTGCAATACTGTGCAATTGAAAATTTCTTGCTATTGCACAATACTTATTATATAATAATTTACACATCCTGTTTGGTGTGTATCTCCTACCATATCATTATTATTTGCTTTTAAATATAAATCAGAAATAACCAACTTAAAATGGAAAATTTTTAAAAGAAAAAAAAAGGAGAAAAAAAAAAAATCCCCCCCCAAATTTTTTGAACCCCCTTATGATTCATCACCCCCAAACTCAATCCCAGCCTTCCCTTTGTGGTATGGTACCTTGCAGTACAATTTCAGAGAGATCCATACACTTGAACACAAGTTATTGTCTGGAAACTAGAAAAATGTGTTTTTTGGCCCCAAATTCCTAAACGTTTAAGCCAATTACCCCCAAACTCAAACCCAGCTTTCCCTTTGTGATATGGAACCTTGTAGTACAATTTCAGAAAGATCCATACACTTACACACAAGTTATTGTCCTGAAACTAGAAAAATGCTTGTTTTTTGCCCCTAATTCCTAAAATATTGAGGCAATTACCCCCATCATCAATCCCAGCCTTCCCTTTGTGGTATGGTACCTTACAGTACAATTTCAGAGAGATCCATACACTTGAATACAAGTTATTGTCTGGAAACTAGAAAAATGCTTATTTTTGGCCCCCAATTCCTAAACGTTTTGGCAATTACCCCCAAACTCAATTCCAGCTTTCCCTTTGTGATATGGAACCTTGTAGTACAATTTCAGAAAGATCCATACACTTACACACAAGTTATTGTCATGAATCTAGAAAAATGCTTGTTTTTTGCCCCTTTTTTGGCCCCTAATTCCTACAATTTTGAGGCAATTACCCCCAAAATCAATCCCAGCATTCCTTTTGTGATATGGAACCTTGTGGTACAATGTCAGAGAGATCCATACACTAACACACAAGTTATGTCTGGAAGTTACAAAGATGCTTATTTTTGGCCCCTAATTCCTTTACTGTTGGTACCATAACCCCCAAAATCAATCCCAACCTTCCTTTTGTGGTATTGAACCTTGTGGTAAAATTTCATAGAGATCCATTCACTTAAACTAAAGTTAAGAGTGCGAAAACCAATGTGTCTTCGTACGACGACGCCGCCAACGTCATACCAATATACTACCACAAAAATATTTTTGCGATCGTATAAAAATCTGTAGAAAAATGGATCACGATAGCGAAAATGAGACGATCACGAAGAACGAAAATAACCCATCAGGCCCCTCATTTATATCAAATTTAATAAATTGGTCTGGTTAACCTGTTAGCAATTTCGGTAATCGATATCCAGTGCTTCCGATGGATATTATGTTAATAATGTAATACACATGGACAGGAAATACAAAAATTTTGTTAAAACATTGATAAACAAAACTTTAATCTGCTAACAGAGTCCATGTGCATTTAAGGGCACCCGTTGCATTGACTTCACATGTGAATGACTATAGAATGCATTGTGTAAAGATTCATTGCAAGTCATATGACAGCATCGTAACCCTGATGGGATGGCCTTAATTTATGGAAGATGCTGGCAAATAACTTCATCAACTAACTAGTCCGTTGATTTTGTTAAGAAGGTGGTAAAGGGTTATTTCGGCAACGTTTTCGGCCTTTTTATTTCACGTGTTTTCGTGTTTTTAAGTTTTATTTCTCGTTTACTCGTGTTTGGTTCGACGTGCGTGCTTCGTGTTTCCCCTTATTTATTTTCCGTGTCGGTACTCCTAATTTCTCGTGCTTGTCCCGCATTTCATTAAAAAGTAAATCGGGACTAAATTCAAAGTCAGTCCAGAGATTTTTTAAATTATGTGATCCTAGGATATTAATAGCTATCAAATTATGAATAATATTTTTCTTTCAAATCAGTTGCAACTAGCGGACGCTAAAAGGTGACTGCAGTGTCTTTATGTCCATTAATAATGACTGCATGATCTCCAAGAACGGCTGCTGAGTAATAACTTCTATTACCTTTTTCCTTAATATTTAGGATTTTATTTCTCGTGCTTCGTTTTTTGCGATTTTTATTTTCCGTGCAACGTTTTTGCGATTTTTATTTCACGTGTCCCTCTGTTAAGGTTCCATCATCATAAATAAACAAATAATGAAATATGTCTCTCTGTTTACACCTCGAAAATGCTCGGAGTAAAGACATAAGCAGAAATGTTTTATTTTATATTAAATAAAAAATATGAAAATTATACGCTCATGCAACTTTTCAACACATTGTTTACCGTGGGTCCTCAAATTCAACAAAGGCAAAAGGGGGTCCTCGTCTTGTTTTCAAGTCAACAAAATTAATTCGTCCAAATTTATAAAATAAATCTTCAATGTCTCTAGCTCTTATATCAGGTGGGAGATTGCCAACATATATTCTGGAATCATTTGATGGTCGTCCGTAAGACATTCTTGGTTTTTTCTACGGCTGACGTGTTGTGGAAAATGGCGAAGAAAGAAAGCGTTGGTATCTAAAACGAGGCAGAATACGTGATCAAGACTAAGTTTCCACTCAGTGTTATAATACAATAACACCACAACGTACCTTCAATCAGTAGTGTCTTGCACCGTTTTTGTACGTTCGCCTTTTTATTTTTGTACACTGTTTTGTATCTTTGTGACATATGGTTTTTATCGTTCCTTGCTATCTACTTGTCTTCATGAAGGTATAACGGAGGTCTTCCGTTAGTTTGGATTGTAAAATTAGTTAAACGGGAAAAGTCTCGCAACGGAAAAAAGTCACAAATGTTGTAGGAAAAAAAGTCACATATTTGATAAAAGTAGGAAAAAAGTCACAAATATAATAAGAAATACTGTCCATTATTGAACAAAAGTTTGATGGTATTTCATTTCTTTCTCTTCCTTTAACGTTATACGGAACTTTAATTTTCAATGGTAAAAAATGATATATTATTAAAGGCAGTGGCTATCATGACGGCTCTGTATTTTGTTGGCATCGGCAAACTACTAACTAGCGATTTATATAGTTTTGCTATTTTCCCGGTTATATTTATTTTAGACTAAATGAAATAATTGTTTTGTTGAAATCATTGAAATTCGAAAATGGAAGACTATACTTCGTTGTCAAAAAAAAAATGTGATTCAAGAACTATAAAATTTATGAAAACGTTGTTTCATGAACACGTATCTTCGTTTTTATCTTGCAATCGTATATATGTTGTGTACAAGTTATCATTTTGTACAAATTATAATGTGTACAAAAAAATTGTACAAATTATCATTTGTATTTTGACTTTGTACAAATTGTAATTTGTACAAAAAGTGCTTGTAAAAATTACAACTTTTGTACAAAATTTGACTTAAATTCACTTACAACTTGTACAATAATTTATAGTATGGATTTTGTTATAAAAAAGCATTGATACACACTATACGATTTTTATTCAATGACCACACAATAACCCTTATTTACAAAATACAAAAATACCCAGATGAAGAAAGAAAATGTAATTGATTCATGCATGCCAGTTAATTCTGATAGTACAATACAAATTGGCCTCAGTGACAATTCTGATAAAATGATAAAAATTGGCCACTGTGACAATTCTAATAGTATAATAGAAATTGGCCCCAGTGACAATTCTAATATTATAATAGAAATTGGCCCAGTGTATTCTGATAGTATAATAGAAATTGGCCTCTGTGACAATTCTGATAATATAATAGAAATTGGCTCGAGTGACAATCAGGGTGACACTGACGGTGAAACGCCAATTTTACGTGCCAGGAAGTTTGCGTTTTCTGGCCAACAGATCCAAGTCGAAAATCAAACCAAGAAAGCGAAACGGAAATCATCAAATCTTGATGTAGGGGATAATGTCCTTATACCAATTCCTCCGTATGATAGTGGCCCAACTAATCCTCGAAATATCTTAGGTGTTATTATTGGATCTGGAGAATTTGGGTACCGAATTGGAACAGCTGTAGGAATTTAAACAGGATATTTGTCGAGAAATCAAATTGAAGCTCCTGAGCTTCAACTTTTGATACGTGAAGCAATTAAAAATTCTTGTTAATTCATTGAGAAGGACATTTTTAGAGTAAATTCATTTTTATATGTCCGTGTTTTTTTCGAGAGCAGTGCTGGTTTTTTGAGTGCGGTCCAGGTTTTGACCGAGTGATTAAACAAAATTAAAATGTCTTAAAATGTTATATGTCGGTGCGATTAACTTTAAAAAAACAATGAAAGGGTTCAAATAAAGTACTTTTCGTAGCACGAAACCAATGCATTTAACCAGTTTGATAATACTGTTGTACGTAACACGTACATTCGTAAAAAGCATCGTATATTCAGGGGCGGATGCAGGATTTTGGAAAGGGGGGTGCGTAGTATTAAAGTTCACCGAGCGGAGCGAGGCGAAAAATTTTTTGGACCTTTTTTTGGCTAAAAACATAAAATAAGTGTAAAATGCATTTTATAGTTAAAGTGTAGGGGTTGGACATTTTTGGTGCCGTATTCTCTCCATTAATTGTCTATTATAAAATGATTGGATGGATCCAAAGCTATGTACTAATTAATATATTTGATGTGGGATTTGTCAGTAAAAAATAGACATGGAAAATTCTCGTTTGTTGTATGGTTAGTTAGCATAACCTCACAGATTTCTTGTTGTAAACAAGATATACGGCTATTCAATGAAATTTACAATACGACCGACACGAAGAAAGACAAACAAGCAATTTTTATCCAAATGTTTGGTTGAAATGTTTCAACCAACAAAGGAAGTGAGGGGTTCCAAATCAACCAAAGGCTACGAATGAGTCGGAAATGACAATGAAGTTGTGAATGACGGTCGACACATGGAGACATATAGGCCACACCCAGCAGGCAGGTTGCAGTCGGGCCTTGACAAAAGTATTCAGTATATCAGTTCGGCGAAACAGACATTCCGGTCAGATATGGGATTCACATGCAACCCCCCCAAAAAATTACACTCGTTTTTATTCATCAAGTTCATTTAATGCTAAATAATTTTGTTGAAAATATTTTTTTCTAATAGCAAAAGAGTGGACAAGATTATTGTTTTTAATCCAGATACGGCCAGAATTTTTGTTTAAAGCAAAAATCAGGGTCAGAATTTTTTCTCGAAAATATCTTAGACTGCCCCCTCAAATCAAATGGTCCGTACCTTAGACTTTAAATCTATATCTAGAGCTTACTGACTGGGGATCACTATTCAGCAATGTTATTAATGGGCTGGGGCGTGTGGGGTTAAACAATGTTAAACATGTTTTCGTAGGTAAATAATATTGCCGTGGAACTTTTTTTTCATGTGAGTGTAATAGAGCATTACTTTCTGTTGGGTGGAATTGTGAAATAGAAGTCAATACGTTCTTGCTCAATACTTTGTCGCTTTGAAGGCGTCATGCTTGTCATCCTCAGCCTAAGCAATGTGTTACTGTAATTTGAGTTTCAAAATGACTGAGTGACGTTTTTTTCGACGTACTGGTCAACTCCACCGTAGCGAATCACATGACTTTGACATAATCAATAATATATTACAGTAAATACGAGCGAAAAATATCTTTATAAGTAAAGAATTGTCGCATAAAAATTAAATACACGGGAAATGGCAAAGTTCGCGAAGTCTAGTCTGATTAATCATTTTACAAAAAAAAAAAAAAAAAAAAGTGCAAGCAAAGGGGGGGCGTACGCCCTCTACGCCCCCTCTGGATCCGCCACTGATATTTGTATATATTATTGTTTGCCACATCTTATAAATTGCATGGACACCGGCATTGGTATATTTGGATAGATCAAACATGTCCAAGCCCATGTAAATATGGCGAAACTACCCAACAAGTCAACGCTCATGTACACGTTGTATCGATCCGAACATACGCGTATATCGATGTCGATTCAACCAAATATGGATATCATACAGTAAATATTCGTGTTGTAAACAATATTAATGTGAACACAGACATATATATATATATATATATATATATATATAAGGAAAAGGAGATGTGGTATGAATGCCAAATGAGGCAACTATCCACAAGAGTTCAAATGACGAAGATAAAAGTAGATATAGGTCACAACCACTGAATTACAGGTTCTTGACTTGGGACAGGCCCCGGACAGGCACATACAGAATGTGGCGGGGTTAAACATGTATGTAAGCTCTCAACCCTCCCCTAACTTTGGACAGTGGTGTTACAGCACAAAATAAGAACAAACTGTAAACACCAGTTACAAATGGCTTTACTCAATAGATCGGTACGGAGCACAAACAAAACAACTAACATAAAAACAATAGATACAAAGTATCGATATAAGAGTACGTACATTATGTGTGTTAAGTGGGTATGTGTATTTTTGTTAACATAAAATACATCCTAAATGTTTCATTTACTATTTGTCTTGATGATAATTTGTTTTGTCGTTTTATGAATGGAAAACAAGAACAATTTTCAAATGCTACTACTGTGATGAGGAGTATGATCAAGCGTATGTTATACTTGGTCACACAGCAATAAAACACCATTATAGCTTCCTTTCCATCAGTTAGCAGTGCTTTAAAAAAATGAAAAATACGGATCTCTATCTAGACATTACAATTACCAATGTATATCTACGGAACACTACGAAAGACATGAATTAAATACACGAGGTGTTCGCTATTGTATACACCTTTTTTTTTATTAATATTTCAAAGGATCATAGTAAAGCTTATAGATTATTTATTTCATTGTTTATTATATATTCCATTCAATTCAAAATTCAGTGTCAATCGAAAATAGTACAGAGGCGGATTTTTTGGAGGTGGGGGGCTTGGCTGGTCCCAGGCCTCTCTTAGTAGAATATTTGTGGTATATTGTATTTTACTGAATTTATAACTTCTGTCCCTTTGTTTTCTTAACCCTATTTTTAAAACTCCAGGTTTCGCCACTGTAATATATATAAATCATAAACTATTATTTACTGTAAAAAATATTGTAGCATGAAATGATATTGAAAAGATTATGAGTCCCCTGTCCTCGGTTCTAAAGAAAGTTTTACAAAGAATCCAGTAATTTCTAATATAAGATTGTTACTATAGAAACGATATAGACAAGAGTGCACACGCTGAAATGTCTCGCCTACTATACTGACCATTGATTTTATGTTGATAGTCCTAAATATAAAGTTTTATTACAAGTATCACATTAACATTTATGATTCAAGAAAATGAGGTCAAGGTCAGAAAAACCAAGCCAGAAATACATGTACACCTTTAATACAATCATTCCACACACCGAATATAGATGACCTATTGCTTATAGTATAAAAGAAACAGACCAAACCATGGAAATTATATATTGACCAATGAACCATGAAAATGAGGTCAAGGTCAGATGAACCCTGCCAGACAGACATGTACACCTTAAAATCATTCCATGCATCAAATATAGTTGACCTATTACTTATAGTATCTAAGAAACAAAGTTAACCAAGAAGACTGAACATTGACCAA